AGCAAAGACTATGTTAATATTATAAAAATCGAACAATTTCATTGGTCGGATTGGCACTGAGTCATCGCTGAGTCAAGATTTACAGATTTAGAAAGCTTGTGTAACGGAGTTTGTCCACCATGCTAATTTTTGCGGTTTGAACCAATAAAACATTTTTTGCTTATTGATGATACTATATCGTTAAATCAAAAAAATTTGGATTTTATTCGGATTTTGTGCAAAAATTTATTTGGTGTTCCATAGTATAATGATCGAAATCGATCAAGGGATTATCACTAAAATTACTATATAACGATAAGAATATGATTACAGTATTTTTGAAATTTTGAAAAATTACAAAAAATCTGATGATCGATGCATTTAGAGGTGACGCAGTTTCTGGGGTAAAATTCATCCATTCAACCGTACTTCATACTCCATTCCTGGTATTAAATTTATTAATAAAAATCAAATGATCATTAAATGATTTATATGTTTAGTATTTTTTTTTTTTTAAATGTAGTCAAGTTTATAAAAAAAAACTAATTTATCTACCTTTGTCAATAGGTTGAATATCTATTCAAGTTAAAGTTTCGTGGAAATGATACCTACGTACGTAGGTAGGTATGTACGTACGTACAGTACATACATAGGAAATGTAAAATATTGAAAGAAATATGTTACGCAAATATGCAATAGTCGTAAAATTCCACAAATTTAAAAACATAGATTATGAAAAACCACTTAAAATTTATTTAACTATACTTACATACTGCAAATATATAACTATATATATATATACGGTATATATTTTATACTATATACTAAAAAAAGGGAACATTTCCTAGTTATACGTATAATATTAAAGTTATAAATAATTTAAAGTCATAAAACTATACTAATAATCAACTTATTGTATATTCCAAATTAGATTAAAATCTTATTAGCAGCGAAATTAACTCATACTGCAGAATTAGTTGCATCAGCAGCAGCAGCTTTTTTCCGCTCTTCAATTAATTTTTTAGCTCTCATTCTCACATGTTTTAAATAAATTATTGAAATTAAAACTAAGCATCCCAACAAACTATAGGTAGCAGCATCACTAATAATTTTTGCTTCATTAAATGATGTATTAAAAATAATGATAACACGCACTATAGCTTCAATAAGAAGTCCGGTTCCCCAAATTGCCGTCAAGACAATAAATGTTTGCCGAAACAAGGGATAAGATTTCCAATATCTTTCCCAACGCTCAGGAATAGGTTCATCTTTATTTTCACTCTTAAGTTCATGGTCTGAACTTTTAGCGATATAAAAGAATATGGGTCGCAATTCGAACGATCTAATTTTGATCGGAATCAAGCTGATAATGAGTATTAAACCGAATGCACAAGTGATCACTGCTTTTTTTAGTAATAATAATTTATAATCATTTGTATAAATTGCAATTATCTCCGATATAATTCCGAATATGAATCCAAATATGGGGATTATTCCAAAGGAATCGGCTCTTCTGTGAAAGATAAGATTATAGGCGGTAAAAATAATTGATGGAATACCCGCTATGACAAGTACCTCAATTTGTGTTAGACTTGTATGCCTTGTAAGGAAATAAACAAGGAGGGTTGGTATAATTATATTGATAACCGCTTTTATGATAATCCCTACTTTACTTTTATGGGGAGTCGATTTAGTCCCAAATCGTGAACTGACATCATTATCTTTTTGCGACATTCTTTATTTTAAAAAGTTATTAGTTAGTATCATTATGTTTTAAATATGATATGCTATTAAGATCTTGCATAATATGAATAAGTCATTAATTAATCAATTTCAGTTCCGGATATCTAGCAATACTTGATTGCCTAGTAATACTGGTTGTTGTAAACCAATTAATATCTATCATCCAGTAAGGTTTGCGAATGTCGAGCTCTAGCATTATATTTAACAAAATTGTATTCAACTAAACTGTATAAGAACCCCAATAAAATACTTACGTTGGAAAAAATGACTATACAAGAACTTTATTCCTTAAACTGAAATGTCTATGTAAGAAATTTCTTTTTAGAAACTTCTTAAAAGAATATTTTTTAGGATAAGATTAGAGTTTTTATAGTTTAGAAACCATAATCATCAATAATTGATCTTGTCTATTGTTGTAATAGGTAAACAAATATATGTTGTGGAATTGAAACTAAGTTGTGTTTTATCGGTGGAATTTTCTAGCTATTAACTAATGAATTAAAAATTAAAAATAAACCACATAAAATTTCTATTAAACTGCATATCTGATATTTAATTTATTGATCACTGATTATATCTTTTTATCAATATCTTTTATTGCATTTTGGATAATTCAATTATTAATTTTAATTTTATAGAAATGTTTCAATTAACAGTTAACAAAAATCGCTAGTTGTTACACTGCTATTTAGATTGCACCGATTGTTTAGTCTTATTTTTTTTTGATTTACTTGTTTATTTACAAATATTATTATTGATTCCCAATATAATACAATCAATTGTTTATTACACAAGTATTTTAATTAGAGGAAATTAGTCATTAGCGGAATTAACAATGGTGTTTAACATGATCACAATCTAAAAATCTAAAGCTATTGGGTGCCAATCAATTTGTACTCTGCCATTTACAGTTCTTGGCATTCTCTCTTTGGCAATTCTTGGCATCCTCTCTTTTATTGACAATTCTTGGCGGTATTTTCCTTTTTATTAACATTACTTGATTACACGCGTATGTATCATTGCAATTTACATCTTAAACTTTATTGATGATTGGGTGTAAATTTTCTTTCAAGGAAATAATACAACCCCTGAAAAGCCTTATCTTCCTTTTTAATTACGTACGTGACATATGTTTTACGTGTTCTTCACCACATAACGTAATTAGTGTGTCCAGACTTATGCGATTTCAGGGATTTTTCATTGTTCAAACAATAAAAAATCTCTGAAATCGCAGAAGTCTGGACACTCTAAACGTAATCCGTATCAGCCCCTTTCAC